TTGGGATAGGAGGATGAATCGGTTGGGGGGGGGGGGGGGGGGGGGGGGGGGGGGGCGCGAGCTGAGATTGGGGCGGAAGGGCGATGGTGTTGAGATCGGGGATACCCAGCGGAGGGATCGGGGTAAGAGTATGGTCGGGAGGGGTGACGTGGGTTATATGGGGGGGGAATCGGGATGGGATATGGGCGGGAACGGTCGGGGAAGCAAAAACGGAATTGGGTTAGGACCGGGGTTGGAGCGGAATCGGAGTTGGAGCTGGGTCGGGGTTGGACCAAGAGGAAGGGAACGGGCCAGGAGTGGGGGAACGGGACTGGGTCAGGGTCGGGATTCGGGTGGGATTGGTGTTAAAGCTGAGTCGGGGTTCGAACGAGGGAAGGGGTTGGGGCGGGATCGGGGTTGGGATGGGATCGAAGTGAGACGGGATCAAAGGTGAGTTGAGGACGGTTGGGAATCAAGGTGAGTCGGGATCGAAGCGGATTAGAATCAGGGGCGAAATGGAAGCTGGTGGGATTCGAGGAGGGTTGGGATCGACGCAGATCGGTACAGGTCGGGATTGGAGGCGTGGGAGCGGGTGGGAGATGAGGTAGTTTGGGATGGAAGTCGCAAGGGTTGAAGTAGGGATGGGGTGGATGTCAGAGTGGGTTAGGGTTGGGATTGGATGGGAGTAACAACGAGAACGGGCCGAAGTCGAAGTGGGTTGGGGACGCAGCTGAGAGGAAATCGAAATGGGATGTGGACGGGGGTGAATTGGGGGTGGAAGGGAGTCCGGGTGAGTTGGGATCGAAGTTGAGCGGGATCGGGAGCGAAGCGTGGGCGGGTGGGAGTCGAGGTGAGTTGGGCTCGAGATAGGAGGCAGCGGGGGATGAAGTGAGTTGGAATCAGGTGGGTCGGGATTCGGACAAGAGTCGAGAAGGGTTGGAATTGGGGTCGGGTAGGATCCGAAGTAGGCTGGGGACTCTATTGATGGCGAACTGGGACAGGATCAGTGTAGGAATGGGATCGGGTAGATGTGGAAGAGGGTCGGGATCAGGAGCCGAAGAGTGGGGGGAGAACCAGATGGGATTTAAAGTGGATGGGGCTTAGATCGGGGCTAGAAAGGAGTCGGGGTGGGTTGGGATTGGGGTCGACTAGAAGAGGGTTGGGGATGGGATCGAAGAAGAAGTTGGAAAGAGTCGAAATGAGGGGGGGTAAGTTGTGGAGGGGGGGAACAAGTTTGGGGGTGGGTTAGTAGGATGTTGGTAAGGAGGAAGGGCAACGTTAGCTCTCACTCGAGTGAGGCCTTGATTCTCCGCCGGTCTCTTTATGACGATCAGATCGCTTCGTCTGTAACGCGAGGCGAAAGATTCTTCAGGAGGTCGGTGATGGTTCTTCGTCAACGGCTGATGGTCTCCTTCTTGCCTTAAGGAAGTGCGACTCTTGCAGTTGTGGTTTCGCTGGCTGATGATGTGTGCGTCTTCTGAAAGCTGCTGCTCGTTAGAAGGTCCTCGAGCCAATTCTTTACTGCCCAATTCTTCACTGCGCTGCACTCTTCACGGGATCTCGGAAGAGAGAATGACTACCCTCGGCACGCGTGCGAGGCGCACGCACGTGACGCTGTGATGGACAAGGCGAGCGCACGAAGGAGCTCGCGTAACCTTAGGGCTATGGCTGGGCGGGGTGCGTGGAGGTTGCCCCTGCGGGCGACGAGCTTCGATTGGCGGTACGGGCCTGGCGCAGGGTAGCGCTAACCGAGCGGCGCGGTCGCGTTTTTTTCACATCTCTAACATTTCTAAATTTTGATAATTGGGAAGTCGTAGACATAATGAGGATTGCTGAGTATGATCTCTACTATACTACCCAGATCCCTAATCACCTATCTACCTATCCTGCAATCCCTCTCTCACATCATTCAATGAGCCTAAGTATCTGCATCAAGAAGATACATGCTGCCCCCAACCATGGCTGAAGACACCRACGACAATCTCTGAAGCTGTGATGCTGTGTATCCCAAAGTTCAAACCAGGGAGAAGACTTGCAATTACATCAGCGAATCTCAGGAAGCTAACCACTTTGAGCTGAGTAACGGATGGAGTGAACAAAAGGCTTCCTCACGGGACTTTCGAAGCTAAGGGGGAAGGTATCCGTGGATGTGCGACACGGCTGAGTGTTGCACTTGAAAGGTGGAGCGAAATATGTTTCAATTCTTATCAAGGGCCTCTAGATTTGTTCTTAGGGGCGTATTCAGTGTATTCTCCAGATTTCTGCAGATTAATTGCATTGGCAGAGGCTAGGGAGTTTTCAGAAGTTGACTCCGAGTGGTTTCACATGGATGAAGACATAAATCATGGTCATTGTCGTTCTGTTGTATGCAGACATCGGCAAAGAACTTGGAATCAGTCAGGTCCGTTGCTATGTCGACACACAGTGCCTTGAGGGCTATCGAGCAATGTGCAAGACAATGTGCAGAAGAGCTTGGGATGCGTCAAATTGAGCAAGAAAGGCAACTCGAGCTTCTGAAGGCTGACTTTGAGGTGCGGGCATATTCTTTCCATTAAATACGCAGAACTACTTTTGTTTATTTGGTTTTTTGTTTTTGTTTTGTTTTTTTGTTCTCTCATGTGTGTGGGGGGGGGGGGGGGGGGGGGAAGGTGTGTGTGTGTGTTTGAGGGTGTGAGGGTGTGATGCAGAAGATCACCACGACAATCCCATAGATTGAAATTGAAACAGGATGGTAACTTTTTGCTGAAACGGCCCGTTATATTCTCTGTTCTCGGTTTACATTGTTGTAATATGAATGGTGCAACACCTACCTTGTCTGTTTCCCTTTCAGCACATCTGCACGTTATATTCTCCGTTCTCTTTGTGGTGCTCGCTTGTTTTGTAATCAGCTCACGGGAGAAGAGGAGGGAACGGAAGGGAAAGGGAAGGGGGACAAAAGAGAAAATAGGGAAATTGGGGAGGGAGGAGAAGAAAGTAAGGGAAGGGGGACAAAAGAGAAAATAGGGAAATTGGGGAGGGAGGAGAAGAAAGTAAGGGAACCTCATTACGTCGTGCATTCGGTTAATAATTTTTTGCAACTCGGAGTGCGGATGTCTTAGAGAATTAGGGTCAGGGTTGCATACCTGCCGACCTCCGACCCTGACCGCCGACCGTTTTGCAGGCGACCAGTCAGAAAACAACCATCCACTGATTTTTTTTCAAAGCACAGTTGGAGCCTGTACTGCGCTTGCTGAGTACAGCCCAAATCCGCTGAGAACTTTTGGGGAGGAGGGGGCGTTCGGTGGTGGTGGTGTGTGTGGGGGGGG